AAGATGCATCAACTGACAGAGTTTGATTATTCTAAGCCAATATGTACTCGAGATACTTAAATATAGCCATAAAATGTCAAAAGTAGGTCACTGACCTAATTTTTAGTAGACGATTTTAGAAAACCCAGGATACATCAACTGACAAAGTCTGGAGATTCTACGCCAATAAGTACCTGAGATATTCAAAAGCAGGGCACGGTAACCTACTTTTCAGTCCACATTTCCCCAAAACCCAAGATGCATCTGATTCAACTGACAAAATTTGATGATTTTAAGCCAATAAGTCATGAAATACTGAAATAAAGTCTTAAAATGTTAAAAGTAGGTCACATTGACCTACTTTTTGGTCGTCACCCTTCAAAAACCCAAGATGCATCAACTCACAAAGTTTGATGATTCTAAGCCAATAAATACCTAAAATACTTAAATATAGACATAAAATGTCGAAAGTAGGTCATCGTGACTTACAATTTAGTCGACATTTTTCAAAGTCCCAAAATGCCTCTGCTGACCAAGTTTGATGATCGGAGGTCTGAAGGTAATCAAAATAGGTCTTTTAAACAATTTGAAAACAAATGCCTGCAAAATTGAAAAAGTAAGTGACAATGACCTACTTTTTCATAAATATGTTTTAAGGTCCCGAGATGCAACAACTTACAAGATTTGATGATTCTGAAATAATGGGATTAAATATTTTAAGAAGGATGAGTCATGAAGTTCACAAAGTAGGTCACGATGACCTACTTTGGACATTTTATGGCTATATTTAAGTATCTTAGGTATTTATTGGCTTAGAATCATCAAACTTTGTGAGTTGATGCATATTTGGTTTTCGGAGAGCGACGACCAAAAAGTAGGTCACGGTGACCTACTTTTGACATTTTATGGCTTTATTTAAGTATCTCCGGTACTTATTTGGCTTAGAATCATCAAACCTTGTCAGTTAAGGCACCTTGGGTTTTCGGAGAATGTCGACCAAAAAGTAGGTCATGGTGACCTACTTTTGAATATCTCAGGTACGTATTAGCTTAGAATCATCAAACTTTGTCAGTTTAGGCACCTTGGGTTTTTGGAGAACGTCGACCAAAAAGTAGGTCACTATGACCTACTTTTGACATTTGATGGCTATATTTAATTATATCTGGTACTTATTGGCTCGGAATCATCAAACTTTGTCAGTTGAGGCATCGAACGGTTTCATTGAATGTCCAACAAGAAGTAGGTCACCTACTTTTGAATATCTCAGGTTTTTATTGGCTTAGAATCATCAAATTTTGTCAGTTTAGGCATCTTGGGTTTTTGGAAAACGTCGACCAAAAAGTAGGTAACAGTGACCTACTTTTGACATCTGATGGCTATATTTAATTATCTCTGGTACTAATTGGCTTAGAATCCTCAAACTTTGTCAGATGATGCATCTTGGGTTTTCAGAGAATGTTGACCAAAAAGTAGGTCATGTTGAACTACTTTTGAATATCTCAGGTACTTATTTAATTAGAATCATCATTTTTTGTCAATAATGTATCTTGAGTCCTCAGAAAATTTCAATCAAAAGGTAGGTGACTGTGACATACTTATGGTATTTTATAATTATATTATAATATCTTCAGTCTTACTGGCTAAATATTATCAAACTTTGTAAGTTGATGCATTTTGGGTCTTATGATACTAATAGAGTAGGAGGCTTCTAATAGAAGTGATAAATTGTACAATTTATCAGAAGAGCTCTCAAGGCCCTTGGGCATCTTGTTTACATCTTTAACCCAAAATTTGACCTTGGCCATACCCTACAAACAAAATAAAATTTATGTCATTAAAAAGAGGATAAAAAAGTTAATACACAGGGCATATTTTTATTTTGTTTGTCACATGTGGCCACATTGAAAACTAAACTTTTCTTTCAATATCAAACCTCTGAAAACCGACCACCACAGCGGATTTTCGGGTATATCTTATGATAATATCAAAAATATTTTTTTTGTGCTTTCTACTTTAAACATGTATCAAAATGAATTGTCTAGTTGGAAATATATTGGATTCTGTGCTGTGGTAGGAAAAAGGAAAACGAAAACCATGTGCTTTATAAAATATTACGGCATGTTATATTGTCAACTTCCACTGTACCCTTACCGTGGTTCTGACCCAAGACTTTTTCTTGACATAGCTGATTTAGATTCAATTTATTATATTTATAATATTTTTTTTTAAAAAGTGTATACTCTTTTTGTATTTCTTTGTGTGAATTCCTGTTTGTAACTCAATCCCAACGTCTCGTCGCCATGGTCACTATGTAATCAAAGGGAGATTATTCGTGAAATTGCCTACAACGGATAAAACTACCAGCAGAAAGGTCCAATAAATCAATTGAAATTAAATGTTTGGCGATTAAAAACGCAGATAATTTCAGGACATCTGCATCGTCAACATTACAAATACCGGTATTGTAAATTGGCTAAATTAAAAAAAACAGGAGCATACCAATTAGCGTTTTAAAAATTACTAAGAATGTCTTTGACATTCCTCTATATTTATAGTTGAAAAGATTTCAAGAACCTAGACCTCATGATATGTGACAAATTATTGAACCTTCTGTACATGTATATGCTCCAATTTAAAGTGGGGGACTTCAGATTTAAAAGGTTATATCAAAAAGTGTTATTTTGTTTTTATTGAATAAATTAATGAACGCAATTATTCAATTTTACATATATCTAATATACGAGAGGCAATCGTAAATGCATTAGGACATGAAAAAAGTGCTACCATCACGAGTATGCATGTTTAATTTTTTTCTCTCTCGAAACGCTATTTTCAACTGGGATTAAAATGAAAAATTATATAAATATCATTCCTATGTAATACGATTTTAAAAAAAAAAATAGTCTCTGTTTCTTCTTTATATGACATCTTGCACTCAGTTTTAGCAACAGGTCGTTTAAAATAAAGGGGGTAAGGTTGGCAAAAAAACTTATTCTTCAAAACCAAGAAAGTAGGAAGGATACCCACTTTCACCTTCGACCTTTCTTATTGTCAACTGCTTATAACATAAAATATCCCAAATAAATTGTTGTAAAAATTTCTAATTCTTTTATTTTTTTATGTATGTCACTATTTTATTATGTCACTTTGAGAGGAAGTTTACCCTGTAGAATTTTTAGATGTTTCAACGCAAAACTTCTGGATCAGTGATTTTTTTTTGGGGGGGGGGGTTACTCCGTAAACTCATGCTATTTTAATATGGGTGTATTTGCTTTGAATTAATTTTAATTATGATCTGTGCCAGTTTCGTTTGGGAGAGGAAATTTACTCTGTGGATTGTTGCCCTCTTCTCGTTTTTATGTTTATAATCCATACACAATATGAACACCAATCATCCATACATTTTGGATATACTATACAAGTTTTATCTCATGGAACAAGGTAAAAATGTCGACTTTTAGCCGGGCTTATTGCTAAAAGAGCAATTGCCGGCTTATGTGATCCTGTTCAAGGCAGGATGTTAGCCTCATAGTCGCCATTTCAAAGTTACGTGCAAAAATAGAGTTCTTACTCTCAACAGCTTTTGAGATAATACAAACGCTAAATAAAGCAACAAAAATAAAACGAAGTTTTATCTATATAAAATAAACATTAGTAGTAATGACTTTGAAAACTTCGTAAGTCAAAGAACATAGTTAATTAGCGTAAGGATTTTTGATAATCAGTGTTACCGTATAGTTCTCTAAACGTACGAGGTAAGGCAGGAGAGGGAACCAGACTGGCCTGTTTGTTTACATTCAGCTGCGGTACCAAATTATTCCTGATTCTGAAAAAATCGGACCGTGGTATTAGGATTGAAAAACTCACTGTCGGTGTCTTATCATTTATATTGATAGTTTTAAAATAATTTTTTCATCAGAATATAAACGTGATTCATGTAAGAAATCCATTCTACTCTGTAAATGAGCCCGGCTCTCTGTACTTCTGAGTACATTGATTTTATTCCGATTCATATTTGCATTCCGGATAATAACAAGGATGATAGTTCTGCAAAACCTGCTCTTTAGTTTGAAATTGTACCTTTTAAAATTGCTTACACTTATATTAAGAACTCAGTGAAACTTTATTGATATTGTGTTTGGCAGATCTAATTTGAATTTTTTTGTGATAATAAAAAATTGTATATCATACAAAAGAAAGTTAATCAATCATCTGACTTCGGCCTGAAATGTCAGGATGCAGTTATTTTGTCAACAATAAAAATTGGACAATCAAAGTTTACCTATTCATGCATGTATCTATTGAGCGCGGTATATCAACTTGAATACATATCTTGTGACTGTGAAATAACTGAAAAATCGGTTAGTTTTCGAATGTTGTGATTTTTTTAACCTGTTCAAAATAAACTTTTTAATGATGTCCAAATAATGTGTGATCATTTTACAAATGCAAGTCCTAATGCAAATTTACATTACTTGCAAGAAGTATAAGATTTAAATGTTTATATTTTTTGGTATTTATGTAAGTTTCAGTTTACCTTAACAAAAACATTAAATGATGCCCCCTGTCAAAGATTGCAACCCCCTTTTCACGCTTAATATCGTTACGCTTTCTAGTTTATTCAAGTTTTTGGAAAAGAGTAGGCTTATTGAGGGCCCCCGGAGAAATCCAAACTCTGAGAAACACTGTCATAAACACATCCAGTGATTAAAATGACTGTGGTATGTTAGGCATGCATTGCTTCTTCACAAAGCTAATGGGTAATATCATGAATATAGCACGGCCATATATTGTTAATAAATTATTTTTCTAGCTTTAAAGGGAGTGAAATATTCTTCCATACTACAAACTACAGAATAAGTTAAAAATAATTTAGTCCTTTTTTATTGTTTACTACTTCACATTTCGACAGCCAACTCTCTCTGACCATGCACAATAAAGTTGAATTTTTTGGGTACGTGTTACACCGATCAGGGTAGTTGAAGTAGGTCAACTAGAAGAAGGTGAATCTACCGCCCTGCTGATTCATGCACGGCAATTACCTGTATTTAACTTGAGGATTTTGACACTAGATTGATGAATGGCAGGTAAATGATCTTTCCATATTCAATGCCTTCAAAATTGTTAATTAGCTCTGCTTGATATAAAAAATCAAATCTAATCGTACTATGCATATTAGTATTCAAATGAAAACATCACGTTAATGTATTACACACTGTAGATTCCCAGGCCTGTAACCGGTTTATGTGCCCCAAAACTTGCACAACTAAAACTGTTTTGAGAAGGGCATTCTCTGATTGTAGCATACAATTTATTGCTATCGGGTCAAAATTTTATGGTCAAGAAAGGTTTTTTTTCCGTACCTTGAAACCTTGCATTGTTGTTACATTTTCATAATATTCGATACACAGTTAACGTTAACCATGCATTTACTACATTTGTATAGCTGGTAATGATAGCTTTACAAAGAATTAAATAATGTTTTAACTTTATGCTTGAGAACGGAATGGAGCAAAATAAAACCAGGCGAAAGCACCTTAATGGTCCCAGTGACACTCGCTCTAAAATATTTAAGAAACTCTATCCACATGTTTACCATCAAATCGATTTCATTTTTTTCATTCTCTTAAATTTCAATCGTACTTGTTCATAACTGTATGAACTGTTTGTTTGAAGGAGAAAATCACGTAGCCGTAAAATTCTTCAAACAGGGATATTTGATAATGTTTTTATACAGTGTTATAACTTTTCAGGTCACCTTGAATTAAAACATCAGCTTTTTGCATTGAATAAGATTGCATTATATTAAAAATCTTTTAAAAAAACGCGGATTTGCGGGATACTCGGTTTTTATAATTTGAAAAGATAAATGTTGTTTCATTTTCGGCAGGACTCCTTTTCTCTTTCTTTTCGTTTTTTTTTTCTGATTTTAACAGAACATGATGGAATATGGCACTAAATTAATTTAAATAAAACAAGTGAGTGCAGCCTACAGAGACAAACATGCCAACATTTATTGAAGTTTTGGATACATATTCAAGCAATACATACACAAAACATTCAAATCATAAAATAATGTGTTGAAAAATTTAGCCTGTGTGGCTGAATGCAGTCTAGTGGTAAAACGAATGTATATCTTCAAAAAGTCGACTTAACAGGAGGGGGGATATATTAAATTAAAGTAGAATTAATGTATTAATCAAATACAATGATAGAGAAAGTCACTTTGCCCAATGTTTCTAAAAGGAATTTTTCATATGCTGCACATTTAATTAGAAAAATCATAAATGCTGATGTGTTTCGTGATAAAAGATAAGTATTGCAGTAATAACAAATAGAGATGAGTCTTGGGGACGTGTGGATTCTTTTTTTAAATCATCAAATCCTTATATCCGTGTGATGATTTCGTTTAAGTACATGTCCCTTAATATATGATACCATTTGAAATAACTGTAGGAAAAATCAACTTCTGTCTTAATACATAATTTTAAAATTGTCGCTTTGAATAGGAATTGTCACAAAATTACATCAGAAAATAGCTTAATACTGTCTTTAAATAATAATAATCTTGAACAGTTTGTGCCAATGTGGTAGGGCTTTCGTATTGATGTCTCCCCTTCCAAGGGGAGACGTATTGTTTTTTTCGATTTTATGCGCCCGGATCGATAGATCAGGGGCATATATTGTGTCTGTCCTGTCTGTTGGTCTGTTTGCCTATTGTCAACTTTAACCTTCTCCATAACTTTTGAACCATGAGAGATAGAAACTTCATATTTAGTATGCATACTCAGTGGCGGATCCATATGGGGGGGGGGTTACGGGGGTTGCAACCCCCCCCCCCTTTGGATTTCCAAAAAAGAAAGAGAAATAAGAAATTTCCAATTTTTTTGTTGTGTTTTTACTATAGAAAATGTAAGGTGAAAGGCTAATGTTGTAATATATAAAGAAATGTGGTTGTAAAAACAAAATAAAACCACATCCCTTTACAAAATAGGATTTTCAAGTTCTGAGATTTATTTCCCATTCTTTTTCAAAAACTTTCTGGTAACGTATACATGTACTTTTTCCCAGATTGATCACGTCCCACTTTCAAAAACCATACTCCACCCAGTATCGATATTCGATTGAGTTATTTAACTATATATGTATATGTGTACAACGTACGTTTTAACTGTTTTCGCCTTCAACCCCCCCCCCTTCTTTCGAAAAATACGTCAACCCCTCCTTTGAAAATTTTCTGGATCCGCGCCTGATACTCCATTATGAGTGATAGAGACTTTATATTTGGTATGCATACTCAGGCTCTTTCAAATGACACTACGATTAATAACCTTGTGACCTTGATTGACCTATATACTAACAATAGCTTTTTCGAAATTTTGCCATAACATTTGAACCATAGGAGATAGAGACTTATATTTGGTAAGCATACTCCACTAATGAAGTTCTTTCAAATGACACCAAGATCCATGACCTTGTCTGGGACCTATATGCTAAAAATAGCTTTTTCGAACATTGTTACCGTCGGACGCATAGTGTTTCACAAACATCTTGTTAATGCAATATTATGAGTTGATTTTGTGCCATTCATAAAAATGAAATAAATTGGTCATGGTATGTGATATTTATGGTTATTTCATATAATATAAATTATATAAATTTTGGGACACCCTGTACTTGCAAGAAAATCGTTTATTTTTGATTGGTCTCGATAAATTTCTTACCTTTGATGGTTGTCGATAAAACAGAACACGAATTTTGTTGGTATCAGAATGTTTAATAAAAGATATATTACGGTTTGAACCAGTTTATGAAAGACGAGTCAGTTTCTTTGTAAGAACCTAATATATTTTCATGCTACTCTTAATGTGAACATAAATAATATTTTTATCTCTTTTATTCAAGTAATTATACCTAAGCATAATTATGCAGTTATAAATGACAAGATAGAATTATTATTATATACTTTTTTTTTTAGATATTTGTAGCTGAGTTCAATCAACAATGCTAGCAAGGTATGGTTTATGTTATTATGTTCCCCAAACGAAGTTGGGGAACATATTGTTTTTACTCTGTTTCTTATTATTATGTTCCCCAAACGAAGTTTGGGAACATATTGTTTTTACTTTTTCTGAATTTTTTCTTTGTTCTCCGGTACTTTTTTGTCCGCGAGTGTTCTCGTAAACTACTCATCCGATCTAGGTGAAACCTTTTTAGGGTCACTAGGTATGTTATGTAGATGTGCGGAACGAAGGTCATTTTGCGCGCACGTGCGTGCATGTGCGCGCACGTGTAACACATGAAATGACCAATATAATAGATTTAGCCGTAACTTTTTAAATATTGGATGAAATGCTTTGAAACTCATAATATAAGGATATAATAGTAGTATAGACATGATGACATGGTCAAAATAGCAAGATCTCACGCGCATGCAGGTGCCCATCGCTGCGATTGGCTGAAACTAAAAGTCAAAATATCTATTTTGTTTTCTGACAAAATCCTTTGAAATTTTGAACATAGTCTTACCTTATGAAGATCTACAGCATGATATATAAGAATAATCATGAACGCACGCACATGCACGTGTGCTGCAATCTGATTGGCTAAAACTTTAAATGCCTACAACTTTCTTGGTTCTCAATAATACAGGGTGAAATTTCAAATATGAATAGATATAATGATTGCCTACACTATACTACTATCAAAAGTAAATGCATGGACGTGCATGCACATGCGACTGCACACAATGTATTAAAAGACAGTATACTTGAGTTTTTGATGTTCATGCAGAATTAAGAACTTCTAAATGTCAAGACATGTAACATACTGAAGCATGCAGATCTTTTTACCCTTGACCTTGGAACTTAGGTCAAGGTCACTGGTAACCTGAATAAAATGTTGATATTAGCTATTTACCAAAATCACCTTGACCTATGAACTTGTAATCGACCTTAACCTTTGTCCTTGACCCAAGGGTAAAAAGAAACATGAAGTACATGTACATGTATCTAGAAACACCTTTCAGAGTTTATTTCGGTTGACAGGTTAGAAGTTAAAGAGGTGGTGGTTTTTAATGACCTTGACCTTTCATCCAAATGTCACAATCAATCTTAAGTTCTTGGAATAAGATACAAGATTCAACTCGAACGTTAAATAGGTTAAGAATAAAAATACCCCCCCCCCCCACACACACACAAAGAAATCAAATTAATGGCAACGTAGAGAATCACTGTTAAAGTCAAATAACACCTCGGACCCACATAAAATTTCAGGAAAACTGCAGAAAAGAGCTCGAGGAAAGTGTATTAAAATATTTCATTTGAGTTTCCAAAGTATATAGAAATTATTAATTTATACAGAAAAAATTACAAATCCTGTCGTGTTTAAAATTAAAGTGCAGATGACCAAAGTTGGCATATAAGCCTTTTATAGCCTATTTATTCAGATGTCGTTAATAGCATTCAATTCTACTGATTTGAAATAATATTTTAATACCAAGCATCCTTTGTTTAATTTACCTTTGAAATTTATTTGAATTTTTTTAGAATTACGCAATCCCCAGAAATAGCGATTTTCGGTATATTAAAAATCAATATACATGTACGCTCCTTCGTAAAATAATCAGATATTTGCATTCATGAAAAAAATATTAATAAGAAGGTGTTAAACAATATAGGTCACATTAGCTGACACGAATGTCTTTTTAAACATCTCTTGTAAAACCCAGAGAGTAGCCCCCTATGCATTGGAAAAAATGAATAGTTCCGGTCAAAAAACCTTTATATATTTATTACAAAGTATATAAAATTTACCAGGCACAGGTATCAGAGTTGTCAAAATGGCCTGAGAGGAAATATTTAAAAAATTCTGAACAGAAAGGAAAATCCCTTTTCCATGTATGGAACTACTATTGAATAAGTTCATTTTGATTGGTTAGGTATTGGCGTGATACCCTTAGTCGACTTTAACCCTGCCTTGTCGTCGGAATAAAACCAACTTTGAGCCCGAGGTTAAAATAAGTGGAGAAATAAAATTTGAATCGATATATTAAAAATATGACATATGCTTGAGAAATGGTAAATTTATATATGTATTTTTTTCTTTGATTCGCGGGATAGAAAGATATGTTAATCGCTTAATCAACATGCCATAATCATTTTGCATATGCATGTACTTGTACGTGTGCGCGCATGCAAAACGTTAAACAATATATCGTTGATAGTTGATATCATTGTAACTTTTATATTCTTAAATGAAATCCTGGGATACTTAGCATATTTTTAAGGTCTTCCGTCTTCAGCGGAAGACCTTATTGTTTTTCTTCGGTTTCTTTTTCACTTTTATTATTATTTTTTTTTTCTTACCGATTTTGTGCACGCGATTTCTCGAAAACGGCTCAACAAAATCTTATGAAACTTTCAGGACGTATGGAACATCACTTGAACCTTATGCGTTTTTTTCCGTTTCGATGACGTCACTTCCGGTCTAGAGATATCGTCGATTTTATGAATTTTAAGGGTCATTTTGTCCACAATTTTCCCGAAAAACGGCTCTAGATAGAAACTTCAAACTTTGAGGCTAGGTAAGCTATGTCTGGAGAGGTGCATCAGGTATATCAAATTTACCGGAAGTGACGCTCGTCGGCGCTCGCTATGGCCCGAAAATAGACCTATCACAAATTTCAAAATTTCTCACACCTTTTCTTCGATATCTTTTTTACCTGAAAATATTTTGTGAAAACGTATAGAACAAAAGAAGTGCAGAATTTAAAGATCTTTCAAATGATATCTCGTCCGGCGTCGTCACTTCCGGCCAAACCGGAAGTAGTCGAAAAACGCGTATTTTTGCCGTTCTTGACAGGTTTTTTGGTAACAAATGTCTCTAGAAGCAAAAAAATTGTTTTGTCCGTTGTCGTCACTTCCGGTCAAACCGGAAGTAGTAAAAAATTGCTTATTTTTGCATTAATTAACATAGCGTTAAAGGATTCAAACCATTTTTAGGCGTTATTTCTCATTTTTGTTAAAAATTAATGCTACTTCCGGTCAAACAGGACGGAAGACCTACTCGTTGCTTTGCAACGAGCTTTGCTCTAGTTAAGGTCTTCCGTCTTCAGCGGAAGACCTTCTTGTTATTCTTAGGTTTCTTTTCCACTATTTTTATTATTATTATTATTATTGTTTTTTTTCTTACCGATTTTGTGTGCACGATTTCTCGGAAACGGCTCGTTCGATTTTGATGAAACTTTCAGGACTGATAGAACATCAAACAAACCTGATATATAATTTTTTGTTTTGATGAGGTCACTTCCGGTTTTGAGATTTCAGCGATTTAGTGATTTTCAGGGGGTCTCATTGTCCATCATTTTTCTCCAAAATGCCTTAAGACAGAAACATGAGATTTTCAGCGATGATAGAGCAATGTGTGCTCTTTTGTCACACACCACTCTTTTTCTCCGGAAGTGCCGCACGTCGGCGCTCGCTATGGCTCGAAAAAAGTTCTATCAGGGACTTAGAAATTTTTGACACATTTTCTGCAATATCTTTTTACATGTTAACATTTTGTAAAGACATATAGAACCAAACTTGTTGAGAATGTCACAATCTTTCGAAAGATATCAACGATAAGGGGCTGGCCCCTATAATAAAGGGCCAAAAAGGGCCAAAAGTTTTTCCTTTATATCTCAAAAAGTATTGAGAATTTGTGATACGTCAAAGAAGCAAAGTTGTTAGAAATGTCAAGCTTTATCTAATGGGCTCGTCAAAATTCGTCCGGCGACGTCACTTCCGGTCAAACCGGAAGTAGTCAAAAATTGCATATTTTTGCCGTTCTTGACAGGTTTTTGGGTAACATATGCCACTAGAAACTTAAAACTTAATTTTTCGTCCGTCGACGTCACTTCCGGTCAAACCGGAAGTAGCCAAAAATGGCTTAATATTGCATTAATATAGATTTGGAGGATTAAACCATTTTTGAACTTCATTACTCTTTTTTTTTTAATGAAAGTTACAGATGCACTTCCGGTCAAGCAGGACGGAAGACCTACTCGTTGCTTTGCAACGAGCTCGGCTCTAGTTATTATTATTTTTCTTCCTGGGAAAATTTTGTCCGCGAGTGGTCTTGTAAACTACACATCCGACTTAGGTGAAACCTTTTTAGGGTAAGTAGACATGTTATGTAGATTTGCAGAATCAAGGTCATTTTGCGCGCACGTGCTTGCAAGAGCGCGCACGTGCAAAACTTAAAATGACCAATATATAATGGATATAACCGTAACTTCTCTATTTTGTGACAAAATCTTTTGAAACTTATAATGTAAGGATATATTAGTAGTATGCACAAGATGACATGGTCAAAATAGCAAGATTGCACGTGCATGCACGTGTGCTTCGCTCTGATTGGCTGAAACTAAAGTCTCAATATCTTTTTTGTTTTTTGATAAAATCATTTGAAATTTTGAACATAGTCATACATTAGGGAGATCTACAGCGTGTAATATAAGATTTTTCATGAAATCATGTGCATGCACATGTGCTTGCAAGAGCTCGCACGTGCAACACGAGAAATGTCCAATATAATTGATACAGACGTAACTATTAAAATTATTGATGAAATGCTTTGAAACTCATTTTATAAGTATATATTAGAAGCATAGACAAAATGACATGGTCAAAAAAGTAAGATCTCACGCGCATGCACGTGCGCTTCTCTCTGATTGGCTGAAACTAAAGTCTCAATATCTTTCTTGTTTCTTGTCATAATCCTTTGAAATTTTGAACATAGACCTACATTATGAAGATCTACACTAAGATATATAAGAATTTTCATGAAAGCATGCGCATGCCCGCGTGCTGCAATCTGATTGGCTGAAATTTTAAATGGCAATATCTACTTTGTTTTTTGACGAAATGCTTTGAAATTTAAAACATTGACATGCATTAGGATATCCTACAACATGATATAGAAAAAAATCATGAAATCACGCGCATGCACGTGTGCTGCAATCTGATTGGCT